ATAAGATATGACGATATTTTGGATAAGGATGGAGGCCTGAAACTAGATCAAGAAATACAAGAACAGGGACTTAATATCTCTTGGTGGTATAAGGTGCAGATGCAATCAAGATATGCTAAAGATTGTAAAATATGGGGGTTTTATAAAGACCTAACAGCCTTTGATCAAGTGATGCTAAAAACAGATGAGAAAATGATTAAAAAAGTATATGATTTCTTACTTGACAGGAAAATGGAAGGGGAACAGGTTAAGGAAACTGTGATAACATGGGCACAAAATTTTGGATATAATATTGAATTAGAAAAGTGGCAAAAGCTACGGGAGAGAAATATTAAGGTAACATTAGCAACTTTGTATAAAGAAAATTTATATAAAATGTTCTATACATGGTATTTGTCGCCAAGTCGATTAGCTAAGATGTTTCTGAATATGTCAAATGGATGTTGGAAATGTAAACATAAAGTGGGTACTTTTTACCATATGTGCTGTGAAAATGCGAAAAAGTATTGGATTAAAATACATAAATGGCTTGAGGAAATGCTACAAAAACCCTTAGCTTTTAAACCTGAAATGTTCTTGTTAGGCATCATACCGGAAGATATTAGCAAACAAGAAATGTATTTGATGTTACATCTAATCACAACGGCGAGGATTGCGCTTCCTCAATACTGGAAGAGTGAGGAATTACCCACCGATGAACTGATTTAAAAAAAATTCTGGACTGTGCAGAAATGGACAGATTGACTCTATCACTGAAAGAGAAAGAAGATACTGACTTCTATCAAACTTGGGACCTTTTTTATGATTGGCTGGAAAAACGGGACTTGGCTTAGATTTAAAGATGTTTTTAAATTTTTATAAATCGATTTGAATATGATTATAGAATGTTAAAAAGATATGTAGTAGGGGGCTGACCCAGTACGTCCCATGTATTTGATGATTGATGTTTTTAGTTTTAGTTTAAAATCTTAATAAAATCTTTATAAAAAAAGCAAACAGAACAGGAATCAACATACATTTGTGCTAATTACAAAAAGTGAATGTGTTACCTGTTTTTATGATACAAAGCGATTCACCTCTAAACAGTCAAGACATTTCTCTAGGCTTGGGTCCAGTATCTCAAGAGACCTTCATGGAGGAGAAAATTAGAACAGGTGAAGGAGGGCACCACAGGTTGCTGTAGCAAGGAAGATGGAATGGGGGGGGGTGCTTTGCACTCCATTGTCTGTGTTCCTGTTTGAAGATGCTCACGGTGCTCGTTCTGTGCTGCTAGTTTGCCTTTGGCCCACACTTTTGCTCATGCTAACTATGGAGGTCCTTGAGGAAAAGACAGACAAGCTGCTGCAGTTGCAGAAGCATTCCTTGACCAGAGCCCAGTAAAAACCTGTCAACTGATTATTCCAGCATCATTATCTGACACAGCGATGGGTCAGTTTGCCATCACCAGTGAGAACGGGCACATGGTTATTTGGTACATTCTGCATGATCAGGGTCTCTCGAGCGCCCCCTTTCTGCTAGCTTATTGTGTGCAGGGAACTTTTTACACCCGACAATATGACTTGTCCCACCCAGAATGCAACCACCTCAATTTGCTTTCACCTCCGTTCTTCCTTCTACAACAGGGGGTTATCTGCTTATTTTGAGCAGCCTGTCTTGAAGGAGTTCAGGGCAACAGACACTTCTTGCTCTCCATAGCAACCCTGTGAGGTAGGTTAGGCCAAGAAAGGACAGCAAGCTTCATTGCTGTGCTGGGATTTGGTTATTGTTTAAGAACATAGTTTTCATGGATTTTTTTTTTTTTTTTGCCCTCCCTTTGAGGCACCTAAGGGCTTTGAGGCACCTAATAACATGAAAAAAAGAGTACATAAAACTGAAGTAGAAGAAACTAATTAAGAACAAAAGACAGTAAAGAGAAAATTGGAGGATTTTATATATTTTCAACCATATACTACAGGCACTTCACAGAAGGCATTAGACTCTCTGGCTGCCCAGACAGCCTAATGCCAATGCGTGGGTTAATAATAAAAATTAATAAATCAATACAATAATAAATTTAATAAATAAATAGAGAATGAGAGAGAGAAAGCCAGCCAATATGAAAGCCTTCTATATGGCCACTCTGCGACTGTGGCTTTTCCAAGGAAAAGGGCAACGGCTCTGTAGCAAAGCTCTTGATCGCATGCAGAAAGGCCCTGGCACCTCCTGGTGGGGCTGGGTGCCAATCCTGCCCGAAACCCTCAGGAGTCAGTGTCAACAATATTGGACAGAGGTGCACTAAGCATAAATGGATGGACCCACTGCTGATTCTTCCATGACTCTTATTTAAACATTGCTTTTCAGGATAAAAATCCCACCAAAGTTGCTTACAGGAAGATGCTCTCACTCAGAGCCAGCACTACCATGGGGCGGAGCAAGGCAACAGTCTCAGGCAGTAGCAGAGGAGCGAGAGGCACCCTCCTGTCTCTTCCTCGCAAACCCTCTGGCTGTTCCTTTGGCCAGGGGACGGAGCTTTGCATGTCTACACACAGCCCAGTCCGCCCCTGTGTGTAGACTGGGGAGAAGGTTTGCCCTCTTGTCCTTCATCTTAAGAGGCCAAGATGTTGGGTGCAGAGATGGGAAGCTTCCGGCTTTCCTGACTTGGGAAGCTGCTACCTGGTGATGCCCCATCAGGTGGCATCATGTCTGGACTTCGAAGCACAGGGCTTTCTGCCAACAACGAAGGCTCGCGTGTTTGCTTAGCCATTGCCTTGATCATCCTCGGCAGCTGGCCCTGGTTATTTTAACTGAGATTTTTAATAATTATGTCAATGATTTCGTTTTATTGTGTTTTATCATGATATTTTGCAAATGAGTCTGGGCGTGTGTGTGAAAGAGCTGGAGAAATTCCCTGGGATAAATAAAATCAGTGTAACTTCTCTCGTCCCCGCCGCCTGCAAGCACTGCTGGGCAGGAATCGGGGCCATCTTGCACGCGGTAGAAGCGGTCAGCGCCAGCGCCGATCCTGCGCGATCGCCCATTCAGCGGAGCCAATAGGTTCTGGGGCGGCGGCGGCGGACTGGCCGCTCGCCCTCGCCCGCCGCCCGCCGCCTTTCGCCCAGTCCGAGAAACTTGCTCGACGGGAGCGGGGGGGGGGCGGGGGGGGCGGGCCGGAGGCGAGCGGCCCGCGCGGCCATTGGCGGACGGGCCCGTCGGCGGCTCCAGCCGGAGCCGGAGCCGGAGCCCGAGGCGGCCGCGCTCCCGCCCCCTCGGAGCGCCCCGCCAGGGGTTGACGTTTTAAAGGGAGCCCGGGACACGTCGCTGCCCCTCAGAGATCCCGACGCAGCAGAGAGCGGCGAGGCGCTCCAGGCGCTCGCTGCAGCCCCTCCTCTCCCCTGAGCGGCTGTACAATCCTCGGCAGTGTCCTGAGACTGTATGGTCAGCTCAGGGGCGGCTCGGCCGGGATCGCAGCCCGAGCGGATCGACTCCTCCTCCTCCTCGCCTCCTCCTCCTGCTGCTGCTGAGCCCGCGCCTGATCCGGCGGCCTCTTATCGCCTCGGCAGGCTTGCGGGGGAACGCGCGTCGAGGAAACCTTGCCCGGCGTCGCGAGCGCACCGGAGGCACAGGCGCGCGGGGGCGGCCCGACGGACGGACGGACAGACGGAGAGCTAGTTACCCGGCCCAGCCCTGCCCTGCACCTATCAAAGGCCTCCAGGGACCTTCCCGCCCACCCGAGCCAGGCCCCCTGCCTGGATCTCCGGACGCCCGGGCTGCCCTTCGCCAAGCTAGACGCCCACGGCGAGACCTTCTCCTCTCTAGCCTTCTACTTGGGGTTAAGCAGCCGGCCCGGACGCGGCAAGAACAGGCGCAGCAGCAGCTTCGCTCAGGATGACAGCTGAGAAGGAAAAGAAGAGGTAATGCGGGAGGGGGCGATAAGAGCACGCTCGGATGCATCTGAAGAACAGTTTCTTCTCTTCTTTTGAAGAAAGAAACTATTTTTCTCGTCCCTGTGCAGCAAGATGTTGAGGCCGCGGTTGCAAACTTGTCCTTGCTCGCTGAGTTGCCTCCTGCCTGACGAGGTCGACTGGATCTAGAATAATGAATGCATAATAATTAATGACGATAATCGTTGGTGGTGATAATAATACTGAATAAATCTAGCAGCTTCCTGGGGTGGGGGCGGTTGGTTCAACGGGAAGGCCTCAGTAGCGATCCGGTGCATTAAGGGGCAGCTGCCCGAGAAAGGGCGCTGCTTTTGAGTGGGGAGGGAAGCGAGGTGAGTGGTTCCGTGGTGGTTTTGTTTTGCTTTCAAAAAGGTATCCGAGAAGCTTCGTCCCGTTGGAAAGATAGGCGATTCGCTCGTTCGTGTTTGCAAGGCGTTAAAAAATAGCAAATGTAGACTTGGGACGCGCTGGCCAAAGTTGAGCTTTCTGAAGGGCAGGGGGTTTCGCGTGTGCTTGCATGCCTTGAAATCAGCGGGACCGAAGGGGGCTTGGCTCTGGCTGGATCACAAGCACGCGCTTTTCTTTCCAAACAAAAACACACCTCAGCTGTTCTGAGGTCTCCCCGGCTTCAGGCGAGGAGGGGGAAGCCCATGCTTAATTCTGCCCTTGAAATCCGTGGGCTTCGGAAAGGCTTAATCGTGGCTGGATCGCCTCCCGGTTTCTTGTAATAATTGAAGTCGTCCTCTCCAGTTAACGTCGAATGCTAGTTCTTCGTTCCTCCATGGGAGTTTGCGACCAAGTACTTGTGAAAGGTTTCCCTCCAGCCTTGGGCTGACAACTAAGCGCAAAGGCGCCTGCTGCTGTTAAGGCGAAGGTCAGATCCTGCGTTGGTGGACATTTGGGGACAATCATGTTAACTTCTGGATTGGCTTGCGCTTGGTGCAGGGACTTTTCTGCGAGGGAAATGCGTTTAGGAGCTAGAAAACGCTTGCCAGCCCTGCTTAGGGAGCTCTGATGAAGAGAGCAGGCAAGCTGCTAAAATCCAAAGAACAGGCTCGGCCATTTCCCATCATTTTTTCCCTTCATGCCATAGGCTGAAATCCTACAAGTGGAAGAGATCTCTAGAGATCATCAGCTCCAGCCATCATTTCTGTGGGCCTTTAGTGAGCCAGTTGAATTCAACCCACCCTACATTTGTCCACTGACAGGAGATAACTAGTAGTAAGTTTACCTCTGAGTTTTCAGCTGGGATGGGAGATAAACGTTGTCCTTCTGTGCTGGTTTGCCCTATATTCATGCTTGCTTACCGGCCCTTTTGGTTGCATGCCGTCAGTCGCTTGCTCCTGAGCCTTCTGGGGGCTTCCATAGAATTCAAGAAATGGGAGTGGGAGTGCAGCCACGTAACATTTTGTGGCCCGATCAGGTGAAAGAGCACTACTGGTATAAGATGCATCTTCCTTCAGAGTGACATTGGATTGGACTGAGTGTTTATCCCCAGCAGAGCAAGGAGAGCCAGAGAACGGGGAGGTAGAATGCTCTTTTTTGTACACTGGCGCTTGGATTTGGTGAAAGGCTGCTTTAAATGTGCAGATGTGCTCTGCAAGGTGCATGTGTAGAGGACAGTCAAGTCTTTAAGGAACTACGAGATTTGTTGTTGTTTTGTGGAAACAACCAAGCTACCCCTCTCGAAAAGAAATTGATCTGCTTTGGTCTAGCACTTCCAGGAGGTTAAAAGATTTGGCTTTTGGATTGCTCAGAAGCCCTCCCTTCTCTCTCACACACACACACTCAAAAATATATGCACACAACATATCACAGCAGGCCAGCTCACCAGACTTATTCCCCTCACCATCATGAACTGCTGATTGTGCAAAGCTGGAATTTTCACCCTGTTCATCCTCCTGAAAGGCTTGTGTCCTTGAAGATGCCCCTTCAATTCGTCAATTCATTTTGGCTTCATTTTGGACTTAGTCTAAACAGAGTAACCCATCAACGCATTTGTAGCTATCCTCTCTGTGCCTTCTAGGAAACTGGGTTGACAGTGTATATTTCTCTCCATTCCCCACTGCTGCCTGTTTTAGGACTGAAATTTCATGGAATCATAAGAGGAACCTTGGACATCATCTAATCTAGTGACTAGATCAGGGAGTCTCCAATCTTTCTGGATCTGTGGACAGTTTGGGAAATTGAGAAGCACCTGTGGGCACTACCACAAAATGCCAAATCAGTGGATTGCTTGCTGTTTTGGCATCTGCCAGTCCTGTCTGTGGATCTTAGGCTGTCTCTAATTCAGCAAAAAAGTTTGCTTCAGATCTGTTGGACACTGCAGTGTCTCTTTAATGCAACATTAAAGAGTTATTTAATAAATAACTTTAATAAATTAGCAAATTGCTGGGAGTTCAGTACAGCTATTGTGTCTTTGAAACATATATTTCGGCAATGCCTAATGGTCGCTTCTTTTTGGAAAGAGGTTATTTCACAGATACATCTTGCAACTCACCGATGTATACATTCTTTTAAATTATTTGCCTGCTTCATGGAATTTTTTTAATGGGCTGTGTAGATGGATTCTTTTGTTCTTTTGACTCATTATTATAACATTTGAAGAATAAACACTCCTTATAATGCAATGGATGGAGGAACTTGCAATGCTTTTGGTCTCATACAGGCAAGCACTTCAAGCGGATGCTTAACTTCGATATCTGTTCTACTTTTGTTGATACCTGTATGTAACTGCTAGAAAGTTTTGTGTCTTTCCTATATATCTATATTTGTATGTTTTAAAAGTGTGTGTGGGCGGGGGGCGGGTGTTGGCTGCTCATCAGCACACTGAGGTACCTTTTGTGGATGTCACTTGAGATGCATATGGGCAGCAAGACATGCACAGCTGCCCTGCTGGGGGCTGTTGAACTAGATTACCTCCAAGGGCTCTTCCACCTGGATGATTCTGGTCCACCCAGTGCAGACTCTGCAATGCAGAGTGCAGTTGCAGCCTGCCCGGCAGATGTTTGTCCACCCTGCTGCTTAAATCCCTCCAGAAATGAAGAACCCACCACCAACTGAGGCACCATGACTCACTGCTAGAGAATTTCCCATGTTGGGAAGTGTGTCCTAATTTTTAGGCCAGCCTTCCTCCACTTGGTTCCGTCCCATTGTTTGGAAAGACAACTCAGTCCCCGCCAGTATGACCAAAGTTTGGGGAGGCTGAGGGCCGTTGACCAAAATGTCCAGAGGGCATCCACTTGGGGAAGGCTAGTTTAGGTCAAATGGTCTTCTCTGCCATTTCTACCCTTAGGCCTAGTCCTGCCCTCTGGAGCAACAGAGAACAAACCTATTCCATCCCCCGGATTAGTCTTTCAAATATTTGAAGAGCTCTGTCATATGTCTTCGCTGGCTTTCTCCAGACTAAGCATACCTAGCTCTTTCAGTCATCCCTCACAGGTCCTGGTTTTCAGAGTCCATATGATCCTCCCTCATAAATACCGTCAATTTATAGATCCTGTTTCTGGTTCTTCAAAGAGCTTCATGCATGTTCTGAACTGGGTTCTGAACTGAACCCCGTACTATGAATGTGAATACAGGGAGGCATCATTTGGTGGAGAGAGGTGCTTGAGAGATTGTCTTAGGTGCCAAAATAATTTGACCCTTTCAGGATTGTATGCACCTTGATCCTGGGGGGCGGGGGTGGGGCACCATTATTTGCTGCTTCACTTCAGGCAACAGGATGTTTTTGGACAATGCTTCAGTGGACTTACTTCTGAGTAGACATGTCTAGGATTGCTCTCTTAATCTCTGTAGCACTCCTGTGCCAGCTCATTCTAAGAAAAGATCACTGATATGAAATCAGAGAATGTTTGCTGTCCTTTAAAATTTTTATTGTGAGCACAACTTCTGCAAAGTTGTAATTACCCATGTATGTGTCAACTGACAGTTTCAACTCAAATTTAGGGCACCATCCTATGCATACGGATGAAGAAAAAGTATTACGGGCCCAGTATGCATAAGTACTGCAGCCTCACTCTTGCCTCTGAAATCAATAAGGTTTTCTCATGTTTGGCTTTGGTGGCATCATGCTTTTTAAAAAGTTCTTAATATTCAGAAGGCATTTTTATTTGTTTCTATTTTTGGTTGACTTTTTATTTTTTTGTTAACTTGACAAAGAGCAGTATCTTGCAGGTCCTTGCACTAATGCAACTTGCATTGTGTTAGTGTCAGGGACCTTTAGTGCTATGCATGCAGAACTCAGTTATTGTTGTGTTACTGTTCCCCATGTTAGTGCACCTTAATTTGTATTGATAGGCAGACATGATAGGATGGCACCTGAAGACTGTGAGATGGGATGAATTGTGCTTAAAGCAAATCATTTGTTCTTATTCTAGAGAAGGCACAGGGACCCAGCTCTTAAAAGACTATCTGCCACCCTAGGGTTTGGAGTCTTTGAAACTACTTTGGAGTGAAAATAAATATGTAACTGCCCATTATGGATTTTTCTTTTTTAAAAAAGCAATGGTTCTTTTGACTCAAACTCACCCTGTCACTCAGACTTTGCCAAATTTATAGAACTTACCCAGAAAACTAATATAATAATATCTGAATGCTTCAAAATCTGAGCATATTAAAAACTGAGAAATTCCACGTTTTACTGTAGAATAAAAATGAAAAGAAAAAATCTGTTTGATACCACTTTAAGGTAGTATCTGCTCTGGTCCTTAGAAACCTAATCAATTCCTAAGTGGTCATCACTGCTGTTTTAAAAGACTTGCAGTTATGTTAGAAGATTGTTGCTCTTGCTAAACATCAATACAGTGGAGTTTGCAGTAACATACTTGAAGTCATCCTGATGAAGTCATTATTACCCTACTGTAAAAATTAGCTGAAGAGGGAGAGGCTGCAGTGGCAGATCATAGGCAGATCAGAGGCAATACCTTACATAACTGTGTGCTTCTTTTCCCAGATTGACAGAGATCAGA